TCCCAACCCAAGGGAACACAGTGACAGAAATTATGTGGGGGAGGTTATTGCCAAACATTCCACTGAGCTCACTAAAACAATGACTTTATTTACCTTGATACATCCTGATTACAAAGGTAATAAGTGCTCACAGAACACTGGAAAAATTGCTGATAAGGAAGAAAACATGCCTGAAATCCTACCGCAGTTAACAATCCTCCAGGTAGTTTTCATTGGGTTACTCTTTAAGCCCCCACAGTGTGGAAATAAAGTGGTGAGGCAGAAAGAACACTCATTTAGGAGCCAGGAGTACTGGCTTTTAGTCTGAAGCATCTCAAGAGCAGATTTTTAAATATTCAGGAATTTTGCAAACTGGAAGCTTGAAATTGACCGTAGTGGGAAAATTTACACCACGGACACAGGTGCTACCAACCAGGCCTGTTTCATTTTGGAGATTCAGATTACCAGCACATCCCTTGTTCCGCCAACAGTCTGGGAGGCATGGGCAAGTCACTTCTGTACATCCTTCTGCTTCCCCTCCTGTGAACAGTAGGTGCTCAATAAGCATTTGTTGAATGAATGAATGACTGAGATTTGTGCTTATCATCCCATATGACAGTCGTGAGGGTCCTGTAAGACAGTAAAAATGAAATGTTTTGCCTACTGTAAGGCTCCCTGCCTATGGAGGAGGGGATTTAGTTGATTGGTAAACCTTTGGTTTATTGATGGAAAGAAGTCGCTGGCATTTTCCCATTTGGCTCTTGCTCCTTCGGGGAGTCTGTGAATTACTGACAGCCTTTCATAAGGGCAGATGAAAACTCTCCATTTACTGACCGACATCTGGGGCAAATTTCCGTTCTGGAAAAAATCAAGAAGTCTGTCAGAGAAGTGTGAAAAGGAAGTCCTGGCACTGCTAGTTGTGAGAACCAGGACTGAAATCAGAGCTTTTGACTCATAAGCAATAATAGAGGGATTAGAGGGGGGAGGAGGACACTTCCTGCCAAATGTGAAATTTAAATAACAGCTTCTTTCTTCGAGGCCTTGCTGTCTGCAGATTAGAGCTAATTAAATTGGCATGATGGAACCCCAGCCTCTGCCCCTTTCTCTTTCTGACTGTTTGGTTCCTTCTCCTCACTTCCTTCTTGGATCCTGAAGGAAGGGATGAAAGAAGGCAAGATATCAGGTACGCGCCAGTTTACTCTATAGAATTGTAGTTTAGAAAATTATAAAGGAGGAAAGGACCATAGAAGCCGTCTGGTCCCACACCCTCATTTTAAGAAGAAAAGTCATTTAGTTGGTGATTTTTGTGCCTGAGGTAAAGGTGAGTGCTCCTGGGGAGGCAGGGAACCAGGCTGGGGAAATGGGGATAGGGCACTGCCCCAAGGCCATCCTTGAGTCCTTGCGTGGTGGATGGTCTCTGGGTGCCAGCTCTGGCCCTACCCGTCTCAGTCTCTGCCCTGCCTCTGCGTCTATAGCAACAATGCACTTCATGAGGTGCCCCTCTGGTGAGCTTGGAATCAAGCCCCCTTCCTCACCAGGGGCTTGGTTTTCCAGGTCAGGTGTCTGTATGAGGAAGGGAAGGGTATTGATTGAGTTCATGATGGCTCCAGGTTCTATACTTTGTGCTCTGTCTGCATAATTTTATTTAATTCTGCAAGGACTTAACAAGGTAGGTATTTCTATTCCCCTGTGGCAGAAGTAGAAATTGAGTCTTGCTGAGGTAAAGAGACTTGCCCAAGATTTCACAGCTCTTCAGCAATAGAAATGTAAACTAAGCCTGACTGGGACCTCTACAGCTTCTCAAAGTTAGTGAGTGCCTTTATACAGCAAGTACTCACCCACCTGGTGGGAGTTCCCAAATCCAGTTCCAACAAGCAGGGTACCTTCTCTCAGGCAACATCATTCCATCTCTAAA